AAAAAAAAAAGGGAAAAAAGAAAGGGAAGGGAAGGGGTGGTGGTGTTGTTGTTGTTTTTTTTTTTTTTTTTTTTTCTTTTTTTGTTTTTTTTTTGTGTGTGGGGGGAGGGAGGGAGGGAGGGGGAAAAAAAAAAAAACAACAAAAAAAAGGGAAAGAAGAGTGAGTGAGTGACTGAGTGGGTAAGTGGGTAGTAGGAGCAGACAGACCGACAGATAATTATCTATCTATCTATATATACATATATATATAGACAATATAGATATGCACTGGAACAACATGTACTCGGAGATGCCAAATTCCTACCAGGGGACATTTAGCCCTCTGCCTCGTAATCACGAACTGTTTTTTGTGAAATGTAACACGCTTTCCCATCACCATCACATGCATTATCCCAATATGGCACCATACCAGATGGATGGCCGGATGCTGCCATATACAGCTTGTGACAGGAGGACGCATACTCATATGCGTGGCAATCGGCAGTGGTATGAAGATGCCTTGGGGTCCATAAAAAAAGTTCCTAGCCCCGATTGGAAAGGTCTTTGCGCTTTAGACGTGGGCGAGGGAAATGAAGAGAAGGACAGGCATGAATTTTATTGGGTCAGGTATGATGAAAATGAAGCATTTGAGAACGGTGATTCACACTGGAATGATACAAAGAACTTCATGGATCCTGAAGAGGGGACGCAGCTTCTTCCCACCTTTAAATCTCTACTGGCATATGGAAGAAATTCTCTAGAGGAAGACGGAAAAGAAGATGCGCGGAGTTTGCAACAACATTCGCGTACATCTGCCATGGACGATGGGGCAAATCAGTTATTTCGTTCCAGGCTAGGACAGATGGAGGAGGAAAGGATGGAGGACACACGAACCAAACCAAAACCGGCGAAGGAAAATAGAGTGAGTCTCGCTCCCAGCAACTTACTTATGGAATTAGTGGATTCGGATGAGGACTCCTCTTCATCGAAGAGTTATCTTTCAAAGCAAACAAAGGATAGCTTCAGTGTGGGTAGCCGCACAAATAGCAACAAAAAAGATGATGGTGATGAGTATGATAATTATGGAAAAAGCAGGTTGTACAATGACAGTGGATGGTCGTTTGAAAAGGATGGCACAAGTTTAACAAGCCATCTTTTGGGGAACCGTCGAAGGGGATTGGAGGGGTCATTTCTCAACAATGCGTTTAATGCATCATTCAGCCTTGCCACACCCGCGATGCACCAGGGACAGAGCATCTCTGTCTTTGGGCAGAGTGCGTTACGAGGGTACGATGAGTCGATCAATCAGCTTTCATGCCTTGGTCGCATGCAGATGGGGGGAGATGATGTCTTTTTTCGTCGCACCACCGCTGTGCCTTTGGTGGACGCTGAGGAAAATTCGTATGAGAACTTGGGCCACTCCTTCCCCAAAGCGCCATCGTTGAAAGCGAGGCGTCGCAGCGATAACAGCGAAATGACGCCTTTACCGAATAAAGCCTTTTCTGGCTTAAAGAGAATTCCGAATTTTCCAGCTTCGTATGCAAAACATGGGTGGCATCGTAGCAGTCTACCCGGCGAGGAGAAGCCGAATTTCCATAAGGATCCCCCTTGGATCTCGCGAGATCCCGAGCAGGACGGTTTGATGCGTGTAGATGCTGAGAAGACCGAACCGCAACGAGCGCGGAGGGCGAGCATTCCCTTTACTAGTTTCTCCTTTAAAGATGTAGGAAAGAGACAAACAACGGCAGTGGAGGAGTCGAATGCGGTTACTTTGGATGCCCCTTCCACCTCCGCACCGGAAACAAAACAAAAACCGCAACCGCAGCAGAAGCAAATGCGTGAGACGCATTCACCGTATATATTGAGGGAGGGGCAGCAATGGCCGTCTAAGGAGCGACAAGGCCAACTGCCTAAACTCATTCAACGTTATAAATTCTGGACCTCTCATAAAAATGAAGACGAAGGTGAAAAATTTTCGATTCCAACGATATATGAAACGCGGCGTCGAAGTCAACCCGAACCCGTAAGGAAGGAGCCAATGGCTGTGGGGTCGCCCAGAGGTCAAAGGCAGGTCCCTGTTGTTCGAGAGCAGCTTGCGGATATTCTTTCTGTAAAAGGCACGGAGCGGCAAAAACGAAATGGCACGAATGTAAATCCATCGACGGCTTTAACGCGGAGGGCAAATCAGGAAACCACCAAAGACAAAACTGAAAAGAGATCCGCACGTCAGGAAGAACGCCCGCGCATACCGACACTGCCCTCTGTAAATAGTAAAAACATTTTGCTTGCACCAAAGCGTCGCAATGTGGAACATGATAACATTCTTGGTTTATCGATGGACTATCAGTTTTAGTTTTCAGGCGAACCATGTCTCATTTCTACGCCGCCCCATCTAAGCCCTATTCTTCTTCAATTAGATGAGGAGGAGGAAGTGTTGCGGCAGCACTGCGCAAAACTTATTGAAGATGGTGATTATACTCATTCAAATGTATTCGGTCTGCGTCCTGTGTATTTTATTATTATTATTATTATTTGGTTGCGGTATCATATTGTTGGTGCATGCTGACGTGTGGGTGTGGATTTCTACCATATTGTTCACCTCTGCCCTCCGGTCGCTTTTGCAGGTTGACGTGTATGTGGGTGGGAAGTGGGCCGTGGGTCTTTAGAAAAGAAGAAGTATATATGTGATGACGGTGTCTAAGTTTTGTTTGTTTGTTTGTTTTTCTTTGTCTATCGGTGCCATTATCTTGTCTTGTATTTATTAGTTTTTGTGCCTCTCGCTCTTTTTTTTTTTTTGTTTTTCCCCCATGAAATTATATACTGAGTGGTATGCGTTACGCGCGCAGCATCTTTTATTATATTGATTACTTCCCCCTTTTTTTTTATTTATTTTTTTTTTTTTGTCTTGGCGGTTACTTTCTTTGCTCTCTCACCTTGTGTGGTTTCTCGCATGTTTACATATGGCCTCCCTTCTGTTCTTACATGCGTGCGTGTGCGTACGTGTGTGTTTGTGTTATTGAGCTCCGCTGTTACTTGTTTTTGTTGCTTTATGTGCGATTTTCTTCCCACCCCCCTTTCTTCGGTGCATTTTTTGTCATGTGTGATTTGCCCACAATCACGCCAGGATGTCGAAGCATCGTTCTTTTCATGTACAATTTCTTGCCGTATATTTATTACATGTATTTATTTTATTTATATTTGCCTCGTTCTTACGCTTTTTGAGTGTTTGACCTAACATTGATTCCCTTGAAGGGATATCTCACACCGACAGTTCTGCGCACGTGTGTGAGGGGTTTATATGTTTTTTTTTTTTTTTTTTTTCATTTGTTTGTGTATATATTGACGTCCGGCTCTTTTTATTTTCTTTTTTGTTTGTGTTTTGTGTATTTCTTTTACTGTGCCTGTGACACCTCTTGCGGTGAATAGCGATGCCCATGTCTATTCATGCGGATAGGGGCGTGTCATGTCGACGCAGCGGATGGGAAGAAAGAAAGAGAGTTTAATTTTTTTCCAAAAAACAAAAACAAAAAAAAAAGTGAACGGGCTGAAAGAACCCTTTCAAAGTGACGAATGAAGGGGGAAGGAGGGGGAGGTGAGTTGGGAGGAAATCAGAGAAGATGAATGAAGTGATCTTTTTTGTTGTTTGTTTGTTTGTTTATTTGTTTCTTTCTATTTTGTGTGCATACGTGCCTACTTGGCCTCATTTGACATGATACATGAAACACCGTCGTTTTGTTTGTTTGGCTGTGGAGTGGTGCCGTGAAATTTATTATCGCCACAATCTTGACGTCATTTGCCCATTATTATTATTATTTTGTTGTTGTTGTTTTTTTCCAGCATCCTCCGAGTTGCATGTTATGTTATGTTTTTGTTGGTTGTTTGGTTTTATTGTTAGTGCTGTTGTTGATCCTTCTTCTTTTTTGTTCTTGCACACACGCGTGTGTCCATGGATTATTTAACATCTTTACATGTGTGCCATCACAAATGCATGCATAGTTGTATATATATATATGTATGTATTTTATGGTTGTCCCAGGCATTTCTTAGCAAATGCATGGGGATTGTCATCAGGCCATTTGGCTCATCACCTTCTTTCCTATTTGCTTGTGTTTTTTTTTGGTACATTTCCTTTATTATTATTATTATTGAGGGAAAAAAAAAAAAGGGGGGAAGAAGGAGGGAGTGGTTTTATTGCTTGCTGTTACAACGTGACTGCACATAGGCGGTGGTGTGTTTTTTTTGTTGTTGTTGTATGCCTAATTAGGCGAATGCGAGATATTTGGATTTACGTAACAGGAGGTACACAGTAATCGTACACATACATACATACACATTGTTTCCTCCTTCCCCTCCTCCCCACCCTAGCCCAATCCCCCTATAGCAATAGCAAGTTAAAGATTATCAACAGGGTGAAAATACGTACGGGATGTTGGAGGAATCTGTAAGGCGTATGTCCGGTCTTTCACCGACACCCAGGTCGGGGTCACGCTCAGATACCAGCGTGGTTGGTCCAAGGAAAAAAACAGAACAAAAGGCTCAATTGTTGGGGAAGATGACACTTGGCGATGGACTTATTTGCGTGGACTTTCTCTCAGGGCCTAATATTTTGGCAATTGGAAGTACAAAGGCTGTTCATCTTGTGGAAGTGACGCCGATGAATCTTCCCAGTCAGGCAGCGGGGGCGGATGTTTCCTATACGCCACATTTGGCGTCCGTTTCCTTTGCGATGCGCTCATGTGGCATGTTTGGTAACGTGGCAAAGGTGGAAGCCCTTGCGTGGTATCCAAACCGAAATGAGGCGGTCCTTGCCATTCTGCAGCTCAGTCGCAGCGTAACGGTGCT